ATTTAGTACAGGGTCTACAGGGTCTTACTATGTAGATTGGACTTGTAGTGATTCTCCTGTTTTCAGCCACCCAAGTGCTGGGATTACAGGTGCACACCACCACACCCCGTCACAATGGCCATCTCAGCATGCCCCGGGAGCAGGGCCGGCACAGCATGCTAGGGCTCGAACCCTGGCCATTGTGCTCTGCCTAAGCAGGCACTTTAGTAAAATATATTCTTGATGAACAGATTTTTTAAAAAAAAGTATACCCAGAAATATTCTGCCTAAAAGAAATTCATTCACTAGACATCACACATAGACTGAAAGTAAAGGGATATGAAAAGGATACTTCACACAAACAGAAACCAAAATGTGAGCAGAAGTCACTAGACTTACAGTGAGTAAAATAGGGTGTAAGTCAAAAAGTATGAAAAGAGACAAATGCAATCTACTAAGAGGCCATTAGACAAAGCCATATGATAATCACATATAAATGTATGTGCAGCTGATAACAGAGAACCCAATTTTATAGAGACATTATGAGAGTTCAAGAGAGAGATCAGGTTCATAACAAAAACAAAGGGAGAGGTCGACATCCTTCCTTCATCAGTTGACAGATCATCGACAGAAAAAACTGACAAAGAAACACCAACCTATAATTTAGCTCAGTGGACCTAACAGGCATTTATAGGCCATTTCATGCAACAGCGCTGGAAGACACAGTCTTCTCTTAATCAGGGAGCATGTCCCACATTATTTTAGACCACAGGCTAAATCAAGAGACTCAAAAAGTAACCATATTGGCATGTGTCCTTTGCGACCACAATGAAATACAAGCAAAAATCAGCAACATGAGGAACTTCAGCAGTTCTGAAGATATAGTGTGTGGACATTCTGAGAGCAATTCTCTTAGGGGCCAGGGAGGTGGCTCAGTAGAATAAGCACTTCCCTGGCAAGCTCAAGGTCTGAGTTCAATCCCCAGTTCTGCAAAAAAATTAAAAAAGAAAAAAAGAAAGTGATTCTCTTGAATAAACAATGGGTGCATGAAGAAATCAAGAGGAAACCTTGAAGTTTTCTTGAAGTGTATGAAGACACAACACACCAAGTGCTATGAATGGCTGGAAATGTAGCCCAGAGGGAGGGTGTGTGCTGGGCATGTGCCAGATCCTGGGGCTGATATCCAGAAATGCTATCAAAAAATTTAAAACTCAAACAATAAGAAAAAGAACGACCCGAAATCTACAGAACACTGCAAAGATACTTAGATGAAAAGTTATAGTGAAAGTGTTCACACCAAAAAAGTGGGTAGAAGCCAGGTCTGGCTGTCAGGCCTGTGATCCTGGCATCTGGGGAGACTGAAGCAGGAGAGCTGCGTATAGGAGCACAAGAGCCTCTTTATCTGTCCAAAGCAATCTTGAGGAGAAGGGAGCTGGAGGCATCACATTACCAGATTTCAAATTATGCTACAAGCCATGATTTTTAAAGCAGCATTATATTGGCATAAACACAGGTGTGTAGTACAATGGAATAGAGTAAAATAGAACCGGAAATAAATTCACACATCTACAGCCAAATGACCTATGATATATAAATGTGCCACAAACACATGTTGGAGAAAAGACAACATGTTTCCCTTCAACAAGTGGTCTGGGAAAACAATATCTACCTGTGTAGGGTTGAAAGTAAACCCTTGCTTCTCACCCTATAAAAAAATTAACTAAAAATGGAGAAAAGGACTTAATGTAAAGCCTTAAAGTTTGACACTAAGAGAAAATATGCATAAAACCCTTATTGGCACAAGCAATAAATTCCTGATTAAGATGCCAATATCTCATAAAGCAAAAAGCAACAGTTGACTAAAGGGGTGGCATCAAATAAAAGGTTTCTAACAAAGAAAACAGACGACACAAGAAAGAAACCATGTAAAGAATGGAAGAAAAGTTTTGCCAACTATTCATTCAACCACAGATTAGTATCAAGAACACATAAAGAATTAAAATAACATAACAAAAAAGAACAAGTCAAAAGATATTAATAGGTACTTCTTAAAAGAAGTACATGTAGCCAGTAAATACGTGGGAAAACGCTCAACCTGCTTAGACATCAGGGGAAATGCAACTCGATGCACTTACACTGAGATCCATCCTGCCCAAGTCAGAATGACTATTACCAAAATAACAAATGCTCGCTTCTCTCTTTTTCCATTCCTTCTCCTCGTTGTTACTGCTGATTTCTGCTGATCTATTGAAAGGAGCAGTTAATGCTTGAATTTTTATCTCTCCCCTTTTTAATTTTTTATAGTTTTTGACCAATCTTACAGGCTTATGTTCAGTGATCTGAACTAATTTGAAGACAACAACAGGCCATATGACAACCACTGCTGAATTTCTATCATTTTGTGTAGTGAAATTCCATATTGTTTGTAATGGGGTTTTTTTTTTACTGTTTTTTATATTCTCTTTAAAAATAAAAGATAGAAAATACAAATACTGATGGAGTACAGAGGGAAAAAAACTTTATACATTGCAAGAAGGTAAATTAGTACAATCACTGTTGTGGTTTGTATGGTTTGTATCTAAATGTCCCCCCAAATCCTCATGTCCTTATAGCATGGGGAGCTTAGAAGTGCCTGGAGCAGGAGTTGGGATCCTGTCAATG